CATCGCCGGAGAGTCTGGTTTGGTGTGGAGGAGCTGCTTTGGATGAAATGACTGGTTGTGTTTACTCCTGATTAAACACAGAGGAGAAAACGTGGAATCCCAGCCTCCGTGCTCCAGCCCAGGTTAGGAAAATGTCCTCAGGATAATGTATGCCATTTGGCGATTGCCTTTAGCCACGGTGTCTTATCATGATTGAAAACATTTAAATAATGAAGTGTGCAGTGAGGACAATCATGAAAGTGTTGGTCCAACAACACAGGGCAGCTGGGGTGTGAGCTGAGGACACGTCACAGGAGTTTATTAAATCAGATTTTCTTCAAACTGTGATAAAGTGAAAACCTGAAGATTGATTCCACCAGGATGTCGTCAAACTAGCCTCACCAGCTCTGTTCAGGAGGATCACTGCAATTTTAAGGGTTATTTACATCTGTGGGATTTAAATAATAAAAATAATAATAATTCAGTAAATAAATATTTACATTTTTTGACAATTATTTAAATGCAAGTTTCTTAAAAATATTACATTTTCTCTCATTAATAAAAAGTAATGTGTTGTCTGAGAATAGCTGAAAATTGGACATCAATGAAGCCAAATTATTAACAATAACAATATAAAAAGTCAATCGTTTGAAGGTTAAAACTTAGTCAAAGGGTTATTTAACTATTTAACTGTTTAACTAAAGGTTGGTTTAATATGAGCCAAAAATGGCTACCATTTAGTAAGAAAAACACAAGTACATAAGTAAGTCACAAAGTAGATAAAACATAGGCAGAAAACAAAGCAAACAAATAAAATAGTACAAATAAAGATAAAAGATAAAACATATTTTGTTTGTGATTCAAATTTAATATTTTAAGTCTAAGTCTAAAGGTTAGCCTTTGGTAAGTTTGACGAAGAGGATAGATAAAAAATCAGCTACAAACCAAACGATGATTTTCCTAAAAAAATCTCAATATAAGGTGACATTAAAAATACAAAAACAATTTAAACGGTGACATTAAAAATACAAAAACAAATTGCTAAATATAAGTTAAATATAAGACACTGGTGTTCTTCCTGATAGTATTTTAGAGTTGACGTTAAATTCCACCTGCTCATATGTAGCTGGATGTTAATCTAAACAAAACAAAGGGCAGAATATTTTAAAAAAAAAACCCACAAATGACTTCTGCCAAATATAACAAAAATAAAGATGTTATATTATCTAGGGTGAACTGACGCCGCAGCAGCGTAAACAAGTCCACTCTCCACATTAAAAATCCCGGGGTTCGTTTCCTGCTCTCATGGTGTGAGTCCAGCTCTCAATCAAGAAAGGCGAGTCCTGCGACGACTTCCTGATTAACACCACCGCTTGTGTCTCTTTGTCTTAGCCGTCCACGCTCAAATGAGAAATTAAGAAGCCAGAGATGGACGTTAATGGCATTTATTAACACAGCGTGAGCGGCCGGTGGGACATCCTCGTCCCTCCACCGTCCCTGTCTCAGTCCTGGTGGCCGTGTCAGTGTGGCCCGGGGAGCGCAGCGGAACATAATAAAAGCCAACACTTAGAGGCAGCTGATTAATGCAGCCCTGTGGCTATAGTAATTATCCTTCTCCACACTGGTCCAGCAGACGAGCCAAACAAGTGTGTGGCAGCGAAACCACGGATCAGTGGGATTCAGGCTGAATTTAGCTTTATTTAACAATCCAGAGACGGAGGCTGTGATTTTGGCCAAATGTGAACATGAATGTTTCTGTAACTGAAAGATTTTTAAATTGCAGCCTTGATGTCAAGTACCAGATTCACAAAACACATGTATCTGAATGGACGAGGAGTAAGAAAAAAGAATAAATGTCCTCCAAAAACAGACATTTAACAGGGAGAAAACAGGAATTTATTCACGCTCGGTGTTTGTACTGTGATAAATTAATTAATTAATTAACAATGCAAAGGAAACTAGGATGAAAGTCACACACTGGTCGAGCCTATCGTCAACGGGGGAGAAAAAAAACTGCCCTTTAATCAGGAAGAAATCTTTTGTTTCTAACACAATAACAAACAACAACATAATCCTACGACACGGTATAATATCGTGGCATTACCTGCTCTGCTTCAAATTAAAATATAAAATAAACCTAAAGTTGTTGTTGTTGTTGTGTAGACATTTCAAATTAAAATATAAAATAAACCAAAAGTTGTTGTTGTTGTTGTGTAGACAGAGAAAGGCCATGAGAGAAATCTGTCAATTTACATATAAAATGTCATGATGGAGACTTTGAATCAATTTATAAATCTATGTATTTCACTAAACTAAGTAAAAAAAAGCCCAGTAAAGCAATTAGCTATTTTTATTTTAGAAAATGCTAAGTTTAACTTTATTAATGTGAGAAAATATTAATTATTTTTATTTTAGAAAATGCTAAGTTTGACTTTATTAATGTAAGAAAATATTAATCTTAATTATAATATCACTTTATATATGATTTTTTATTTATTTCTGATTGTCCTTGAATGCATCATTTCTTTAACCACGGTTGTTTAACATTTTATTTCAGTTAATTCAGTGACTTATATTTTCTTCTGAGAAGTTGTTACCCGTACGTCCTGGAATTACAACTGTACATTTCTTA